CAGATTGGCCCCTAAAGGAATTGACAAGGATAGGAAAGCCAAACTGCTTGCAAAAATTACGAAACATTGTTCCGGCAAATCGAGTATCTTTTTGGTAAGATCTGCCAGTGAAGGACGGAAATGATATTGAAAGTTACTAGTATTAGATAATGTATTATTTTTAGTTAATATATGTTTTTCTTACAAAGTTTGTGTTGTTTGCTTTTATGTTATTTGCTAAACCATGAGTACTATACTGCAAAATTACTTAGTATGGCTATACCTTAATAGTATGAGAATACTAAAACAAAAAGTCGTATCTAACAACAGTCAATTTTTTTATCAAGTCCCGAAATTTACAATATTAAGATTTCTTGTGTAAGTTTATTAACGTGAAGTCCACATTGAGATCTTAAAAAAGAACAGTTTTGCAAATAAGCGAAGATGGCATGTCATAATTTGCAAATTGCTTAATATCCCAAAACTTCGTTTTTGCAGATACGACTTTCTCTCTTAGCAGGGCAGTGTAGGAGGTCCCGTGGAGGACATTTAGATGATATCGTTTTCACTTATAATGGCAAGGTTTTATCTTTATATTGCATTAAAATTTTCGTCTCCATCTGAATAGTTTGTGTGTTTTTTTTACTTTACTTTCCCAAGCATAAAATGGATAACCCCGTACATTGAGCAGCGGCGGATCCAGCTTGCAAGTCAGGGAGGGGGGTCATGTAGTAAAAATATAAGCGCTCTTATGTAAAGAGTCAATCGAACCGAAGGATACTTTGGAGCACTCACCTACAAAACCCAATGGAATCTGTACACTTCCACCAGGCATCGCTATATAGCTGCCAAAATTATCTGCACTAACTTTGCTCAGATCATCTCCGGTCAGGAAACGCACTCTCTGAGACAGACCGTACATAAGCCTAGAGACTTCGTACCTCTGATCCTCGGGAAATTTCTGCAATTCCTGTTGTATTCTCAAACCTGCCAGTACATTTAATTAGATTCCAAAATGTCTGGCATATATTCTGCATCTTACTAAAAAAGTTCAATAAAGACCCATGTTCCTTGCCACATCCCATTGTAAATAGGCTGGCGGCTTCTCGTCTAATCTGACCGAAAATATGATATGCCATCATAGCGGTTGTGTGGTCAATTGCTCGTCCATCACTTGTTAAGTACAACCTAAGGTTAAGCAGTGTGTTGAAAAAGACGTACAAAATAACTAAGCGCATGAACCGAAATGGACAAAAAGTCGCTGTAAATATGGGTCCACAAAATAGAAGTTTCGATCAAATGGAAGGGTAAGCTTTCAAGGACATGGCAGGAAGAAACAATCAGCAATTGCCGAAATACCACAGTTTGTGATGGTTCAATTGTCTTTTAAATTCTCACCCACCTTCTCAGACCTCCAGTCTACTAATATTTTTAAGATTGTGAATATTCGGTCTTAACATTTTGAGCTTCCAATGCTTCCAACGCTGACAAATCCATCCATGGGGAGAAAACAAACGCGGGCTACCGAGACTCAACCTTTCAACTATCGCCAACAAGCCAGACCAATTTCTATGCTTTCTGCTGTTGCAAATTTTTCTACCCGAATTGATTTTCTCATTATTTATTAATTACTCATTCTCATATTACCACGAAATAGTGACGGATAGGTCTGGATCGGAGGAAAAAGACACTGGGAGCATGAGGTGCCGGTGATATTTTAAGAAGAAAAGTCGGATTCCTTCCCTCAATATGTGCCTTTGGCGCCCCGAAAATCCCCAAATTTAAATGGAGTCTCCAGAGAACACCATTTGGAGTTGCATCATTTGTAAAAATGAAGTCCTTGTTGTCTTTCTTGTCCACAGCCCTCGAAGACATGCTCACTATTAAAAAACGCAAGTTGGAATATGTTGGACACGACCTCAGCAACGAAAAATACGGACTTCGCCGATTAATAATAGAAGGAAAGATCGAAGACAGAAGACGGAAGACGAAGAAGACGTGATACTGCGCCAAGTCAAGAGGACAAGGCACTTATAAAAGATCAAGAATAAAAAGTTGCTTAACTCTAAATGCATTTTGGAGACACGAACAAACTTCTATGGGACATCGGAAAAGGTTACTTTGTAGACCAATTTGCTCCCAATTGAAGACTTTTGTTCCTTCTGGCCTGTACCATCGGCTCTTTTTCTCATATTAAATTCATTTTGAGCACTTTGCATACTTTGATCATCACATTATTAAGCACCTGATGAGTAATTACCCTTTTGAGAAATCTGTTCTTTTCAAAGGAGATTTCAGAAGTCCTTCTTGAGCAGCTAGAGTGTAGACAGGATTGTTGACACAAGCTCCGTGAATCCATTGACAACCCATTTCTGCGACAACATCTCCCAGCCAGCAAGAGTGAATTCGGCCTCCGGGTCTAAAACAGTTCAAAGGGTATGGTACTTGTGTAGTACTATAGTAACCTGTAGGTTCGTGGTGCCATACTCAGCCGTGCCCAGCAGAAGAACTTATGAAAATGAACGATTGAGCGACCCAGGAGCAAATACAGGGTGTCCAAACAGGTAAGGTAAGGTTCCAACTTTTTGTTTCTTAGAAACTATCATCAAGTTTTGATATACTTTCGCCCCGTCTTGGTCGCACCATCCTGTACGTGTTTTATTTTATCAGCCCGTTTCTAAGTTGAGAGCTCTCCAAGATTTTTGTATATCAGAAACTTAGACAGACAGAAATATCGTATCATGTTTTCAGTCGCGTTTCTGCTCCTTTCTCGGTAGCAAAATGAGGAAAAACGCTCATTTTGACATCAATCTATAGAGAACTGAATGGCATTTTTGGAAAGAAAATGTTGGCAGTATTTGCAAAAAGTCTTGATTTCAACAAGTTTTCGATTTACGTGTTTTTTTGAGTTGCAAATTCGACTCAAACATGACGCTGCCTTTTTCGAAGTTTCTCAAGAACCATTTGAGCGACATAATTCGTTTTGACATCGTCGGAAAGAGAATTGAAAATTCGGTTCAGTCATAACAACATAAGCGGGGAAATTCTATTTTTGTTTTTTTGCTTTTTGTCTGGCGACCGAAAAACTATTGAATATCCAGGTATGTTGTTTAGTTGATTACTTGCCGGTTTTCTTTTGTAAATGTGTATGATTATGCGGCTGTAGATGGTGTTGTGTTGAAAAAATCGCACTGTTGCGAGAATGCCAGCAAAAGATGGAATTAAAAAAGGTTTTTTTCAAATGCAATTTTCGAAAATCGTGTATCTTTTCCCCAAGTAAACAATAGAATAACTCGATACAACGCCATAGGAATTAACGTCCTTTTGACCCCCTGTAGCTTGATAGCCAAGGCGAATTGGGCACATTGTTAAAAAAAGGCATTTTTTGCATAAAATGTAGGCCTGGATAACACTGTGTTGAGTTGCGCTATTGAGTGTTGCCGCTCTCTGAGTTAACGAGTTATAACTCATCGGTTAATGAGTTGTAAGTAATTTATTAAATCTTTACTAGGCCCGAGACTGGAATTTTCACATCTTAAAAATATTTTTTTCTGAGTAACGTTTTACTACTTTGTTCAAACGACTTAAAAAAGTCCTCTAGATTTTGCCAGCAACAGAACTGAGTCCGGTATTTAAATAATTTATTATTTTTTACATACGGTATTTCACCTCAAAAATTTTTGTATTTAAAAAATACATAATTTCCTCACGTCTTCTATTACAGATTGATAAATAGTGCTCCGATTTCGCAATAAGAACGAATTATTTATCAAAAAGTAGTCAAGAACTATCACCTAGAGGGTATCCTGCGACACACTTAGGCTCAAGCTGTAAGAGA